TGTCTAAAATATTCAACTTATTACACATTTTAGTCCTCAAAATTTGATTGCACAGTCACAGTCAGGTACTGGAAAAACAGCAGCATTTGTTTTGGCTATGTTAAGTAGAGTTGATCCAGAATTGCAATATCCACAAGTAATTAAACTACAATATCTTTATAAATGGTATATTTTGGTATTTAATTATTTTTAAATTTTCATATAGGTAGTTTGTTTGTCCCCTACGTATGAATTAGCTATTCAAACAGGGGAAGTTGCAGCTAAAATGTCTTCCTACTGTCCAAACATTAGGCTAAGGTATGCTGTACGYGGTGAAGATGGTTTGTATTTTTTTATACAGTTTCTTAATTGTTATGACAGTTCTACATTTATTATCAATTTTTAGTTGAAAGAGGTTCCAAAATAGAGGAACAAATAATTGTAGGTACACCTGGAAAAGTTTTGGATTGGGCAACTAAGTACAAATTTTTTGACCCAAAAAATATTAAAGTATTYGTGTTAGATGAAGCTGATATTATGGTTGATACCCAAGGACATCAAGATCAAAGTTTCCGCATCAGAAAGTAAAATTTTTTCTTTCCATAATTTTTATTTAAGCTTAAAAAATTTTATTTCATTAAAAGGTTACTACCAGAAACATGTCAAATGATGTTTTTTTCGGCCACATATACAGAAGATGTTATGAGGTTCGCCAATGCTATTGCACCCATGTCTGTCATCATAAGATTAAAACGTGAAGAAGAAACATTAGATAATATCAGACAATATTATGTTAACTGCAACAATAAGGAAGATAAATACAATGCATTAGTTAATATTTATGGAGGAGTGACTATTGGACAAGCTATGATCTTTTGTCAGGTAAGTAAAGCAAAAATATTAATATAAATTTATAATCAGTGGTGTATACTTTGGAAGGGCTAATGGGCCAAGTCTCCTTTCCATTGMCTTATAATTATTAACTTTAAAAAATATATATTTATCAAGTTTCAACTATTGTCAACTAGTAAACAAAGACAAAATTTGTATGCATCTTACCAGATCAGCTATAGGCTATAGCCAATTTCTAATAATAACACATACTAAGATTGGTTGAATTCATTTTTGCAATAGCATTGTATTAGCATACCAATTATTTTCCTTAAATTATTAGTAATTTTTTGGTAAAAGAACCAATTCTATGAAAGACATAGTGTACAATTTTCAAGCTTAAGATGTACTAATTTCACTAAATTAAATGTG